ACTATTTTCTTCCCCATCATAAAACTGAGTTTCATAATTGCCACCTTATATATTTAACTGCAGAACTAACAGTCTTCCTGATGGAAGGTTTAAGTTGTCGTAAACTTAAAACTTGAAGGTGTAAATTACTAAAATTAAAACCTCATGGTCCATTTCAAAAATCACCCCCCAACACTAGGGAGTAAAATTTAGTTAATCCAAAACTAAACAAAGCATAAGAAATAAAAACATGAGTTGACTGGTGATAATCCAAGTAAAATCTGTTTTTTTGCCAACATTCTCAAGAAAATAGATAAAACCAACAGGGAAATGTATACCTATTCCAAAGAGATCTACCTGTAAACCATACTGTTCAGCATGATATTTATTATCACCCTCAAGGCGCTCCACTTCCACATACTTATCGAATGAAGCATAAACATCCCGACACCCTTTGACATCCAATTGAAGATCTGCAAATAAACATACAGAATCTTCCATCAGACCTACAGTATTTATGTTCCATTAGTAATCTACTTCAACCTCAATCACTTACCATAAAATGATTCTTTCCTCGTTGATTTATAGTCCACATTGATGCATTCAATATAGTTCATCTGGTGCCCTTCAAATAACTGCTGTATTGTACCCTCCACAACAGTTCCCTATTCCAGTAAAAAAATTCAGTCAAAGTAACCTCCAAAATAGATGTAGAAGAATTAAGTGCAAACAATGAAGTATGATACAGTAAGAGCTTCATACTTTCATCTTGTCTTCAAGCTTTTCAGAAAGAACCCTATTGAGTTCTTGGACGTCATGCTGCATGAATGAATCATATGCATCCCATCCAAATGACTTCGTCAGCTCTTTGGTCGCTACACTAGTATCATTGTACTGAAGCTTGTAAAATAAGCTTTGCAAGGCAAGTGGGATGCTTCCAGATGGATTATCATTCTCCGTTGTTGGCATATGGTACACAGCCTAAAAGAACAATTTGAGATATGGGGCTTTCTTGTACACAAAGTGGGATAAAGTGTATTTAGAAATTATGCTACCTTTCTAAAATAAGGAATATGGTACAGCGTCTGAAGAAGAGAGTTCATATAACAAGTAGCTCCTTGGTTTTTCAGTCCAACAAAACCAGTTTCCTTTTTAGAGTCATGTGACCAGTAATCAATAACCTTTCGAACTGCAACATCAGCTTCAACTATGCATCTATCATTCACAATATAACCTCTACTAGGGTCATATAATTCACCAAGAGGCATGAACGAAGTGAAACCCCAGTCACTCTCACGAGCATTAAATTGGTGCTGTGTTTCTGCAAAATGCAACACAAAGCAGTAACTACAAATAGTTCTAACATACATGCTATCATAAACACTCAACCTGAGACAGACAAATCAATGTAATGTCATAAAAACAAATCTTGTTCTGTGCTACCATATTAACGAAGTCTAACATTTTTCTTTTTTCTCCAAAACATGTATGTGTAATGTTATGAGATGTTGCGACTCCAGCTGTTATAAGAAAAACATTTCATTTACTAGAAACAGCAATATCATGTAAGAGAGGCCTTGGCTTAAACCTGAAGTAAAAGAAAAATATTGAAACATCATGTATTGGTATTTCTGACTCTTTTTCTTGTTTGGCTTAATTCACCTCATCTCTGATCAGAAAAGGTAAGAAAAGTACTCTTCACATGTTAACCGAGCATACATTTATATTTGCATCATTTTTATATTGGTAAAACCAATCCCCCAATTTCCTAACTAAAGTCTTGGAAGAACACGTAAGTAAGAATCCAGTTTTATCTACTTTCACATCACCTCATCTCTGATCAGAAAAGGTAAGAAAAGTACTCTTCACATGTTAACCGAGCATACATTTATATTTGCATCATTTTTATATTGGTAAAACCAATCCCCCAATTTCCTAACTAAAGTCTTGGAAGAACACGTAAGTAAGAATCCAGTTTTATCTACTTTCACATAATCCAAACACTACATAACTTCATTTTCTATTCAACATCTCAATGATACCAAGATAATTCTGGTCCACTCTTCCTGTCTCAGCTTTGGAGAGAAGTTAATTTGTTCTAACTGAGCATACCTTTACATTTGCACCATTTTTATATTGGTCAAACCAATCCCCCAGTTTCCTAGCTTAAGTATTGAAAGAACATGTACGTAAGAATCCAGTTTTATCTATTTCTCACATAATCCAACCACTACATAACTTTATTTTCTATCCAACGTCTCAATGATACAACTTTTGGAGTGAATTTTCTTCGTTCTAAGTTCAAATAAAAAGTTATTGTCTGTCTGCAACTGTGCAACATGCCAAAACAGGTGCATGTATTTTACTTTTGTGTTTCTTTTCACACCCCTTTTGTTAACTGGTGAGAGTTTGAAGGGCTACGAGAAGATAGACTACATGTGTTGGTAACTTAAAAATCAGAACAAATAAAGTCTAAATTTATAAAACTACTAAAACTATCATTTCTAAAAGGTACACCAGCGGCAGAGAAAGTACCTTTTCTAATAGAGTATTTACTATTAACTTGATTGACAATAGACAAGCTAAACTGAGCATATCTACTCCATCCATAAGGCAAATTTCCAGAATCTGCAACATCCAGATACATTGACAGATGATCCACATTATTTCCTTTGGGGAAAATTAGTATCCGCCTGCAAAGCGCATTAGAAATACAAACATGATTATAAATCATAACAAATCAAGTATCAATATCTACATGCATTCGGATCAAAATTAATCACTGGTAAGAGATTTAAATACCATTTGTAGCCTCCTACAAGGAAAACATCAGAATAGAGCTTCTTCGTATTAAGCCTTGAAAAGCTCTCAATTGGCCATGTAAATCTAGCTGACAATGGATCATCCACCGTCGGAGCATCCACTGCATTGTTAGTTTCTGCTTGTGCTGCCAAACGTAATAAACCAAAAAAATTGTTTGATTGTCAAGATCAGCGGACAGAAAGAGCAAAACAAGGTCAATCTTATATCACAACTTTTTTATTATACACCCAAGAAACCACATAACCTACTCAACAAAAAACTAATCGAGTAATTTGTCCAAGTTATACCTTTTCTACATATTTCTTTCTACAACCAAAGGAATGGTTAAATACTGCCCAAGGAGCACAATTCCAGTACACACTAATGGCCTTTTTCATCCAAGTAACTTATAAAATAGAATGACAGAGAGACCGAGCTATTTGATGGCCACTCCTCGATGCCATAATCACCAACGGACCATTTTTCACCTGAATAATAAAATTGGCCATTCCATTCCGTATGGCCTAATAGAAGTCAATTCTGACTTCTATTAGCAGAAGTGACAAGAACAGTGTGGCTAGTTTCTAATAGTTTGATTTCAATTTCCTCAGTTGTCTCAGCAACCATACAATTCAGTCCCCACTGTAAATTGTAACGCACAATTATCGCAAAATAAAAATGGAAATTAGAAAAAGAAAAGACCATAATTACTATTGCCCTAAAACTGCTACTGTTGTGTCCAGAGGCAAAGCAAGACCTTGACATAAAACTTCACTGATTAACTTTTTGCTGAAATTTTCTCGGGAAACAAACAGAAAGTAAGAAAAATAAGTAAATAAAGATAGAAAATAAACAAACAACCTTCCTCCATGGGCTGAGGACCGTCGGGGAGGTCGGAGTGTGGGACCAGCATCTCATCTTCCTCCTGCGGTTGCTGCTGCTGCTGCTGCTGCAAAAACAAGGTCAATATGAGAGCTCCGATCTGCTAATTGAAACCCTAGCACAACATTCATACGCCAAAACGAAATCGTCTGGAGATCGCGTTCGAAACGAGGGGGAGACGGGTTTAGTAATCACATCTAGCGGCGGCGGAGTCATCAGAGTCATGGGCGCCGGAATTGGATGCCGCCTGATCGAAGAATCCGAGTGACTTGTGCTTGATGCTGAGGAGAAGAGGAAGACTGAGGGATTTCGAGTCTGTAACTTATAATATGAAAGGGGGCTTCGCTGCTGGTTTTAGCTAGTCGCGGGACAATTTCGGAATTTTGTAAAAGGAATGAGGAGACCAGACACAATAAAGGCAATAAATGAAACCCAATTATAAAGTACAGCTTTCTTTACGAGTAAGTCTGTTCTCTTACTCGTTTTTACCTTCCACAATCTCTTAATTTTTAGAGTATACTATTTATACTATTTTTTATACCACATTTCTATACTATTTTAGGTGGTATTTGATGTGGATAGCCACGTCATTTGAAAAATATGCAAAACCCAAGGAAATGAAGGAGAAAGACTCGTCTACCATACCACAATCATCATTTAATTAACTAGTTTTTCTTAATTATTAGTTTATTAAATAATGAACTAAATTTAAAAATCTGATTAATTCAAATGATGTGGCTGTTCAATCAAATGTCATCTAAGATGATATAAAAAATGTGGTACAAAAATATAGTATGAATAACAATACTCTAATTTTTAACGGTTATATCAAACAAATTGAAAATATCAAAGTTTAAAAATTAACAAGATATGTGAAAAGTAAAATTAAGTGTGAAAATAAACGATATTATTTACATTAAACCTCGCTAGCAATAATGTGATTCATATTCATCTTTAACAAGCATTGAACATAAGATTTCTCACCTACACGTGAAGATAAATACTACTAAATCGTAGTAGTAACTAGTAAGTGTCGAAAATTATTTCTTCTAAAACCAATGGTTTGAACCTTCAATTTGAGTTAGAACGTATAATTTTGAGAGAATATTTTTCTCACCACTTTTTAGTAATGTTCATAATCTTATTTATTATCGTTTTTAATATTTTAAAAAATTATTTATTATGTTAAATAAGTTTAAATTTAGAAAAATAAATGCAAATTTTAGTGCGCTATAAACATAATACTTACACCACATTTTTGAAATATTCAACAACTTGTACTTTGTGTTAAAGACGGTGTTGTGGCATTTAAAAATATAGTAAAAATGATAGGGGGCCGGCCACCACCAATATCATGGCTGTTGATAATTTAATTTACAGTTATGCCTTTTCCGTTGAATTGAATTAGAATTTAGGGATTTTGCAGTCGTACTGATACCAATCCAATGGCGCTGTCGCGATTTTATCATCCCTGTTGTTCTACTCTTCCCTCCCCACCACCATCCCCGCCGCAATCTTCTGCTGCTTCTTGTCTTGGTAGCAGCTATTCACCCTCCAAGTCCCCAGTATTTACAGGTTCTGCCCTCCTCCGCCCTCTCCGCTGGCAATCAAGCCACCGGCACCTGCGGTCTCTGACGGCGGTGAAGGTGAGGGGCAGCCTCTCTTCGGCCGCGGAAACTTCAATTTCTGGCAGAGAAGGAGAGAAGGAGCTGCTACTCGAAGTGAAGGATCTAACGGCCGTGATTGCCGAATCCAAACAGCTGATTCTCAAGGGCGTCAACCTCTCTGTCTACCAAGGGGAGGTTCATGCAATTATGGGAAAGAACGGTTCGGGGAAAAGCACTCTTGCCAAGGTCCGTATTATTAAGGGCTCCTTTGGAAGTGTGAAAGTGTTTATGATTGAAGTGCTTTTCTACAATTCACTTATATTTTTAATGTTTCAATACTGTTTCCAAAACACTTTCGTCAAAAGCGTTTTCAATCATTTTGAAAAGCACTCCCAAACACACTTACTTTGTCTTTCTGTCTCGAATTATTAGAAATTTGAAACAATTGGTAAATTAATTCGTTCATTGGTTCAGGTTCTCGCCGGGCATCCGGATTACCAAGTTACAGGAGGCAGTGTTGTGTTTAAAGGTGACAACTTGCTCGAAATGGCAGCAGAAGACCGGTCACTGGCCGGGCTTTTTATGAGTTTCCAGTCCCCAGTTGAGATCCCCGGTGTCACCAACATTGATTTTCTCAACATGGCTTACAATGCTCGCAGAAAAAAACTAGGACTGCCGGAGCTTGGACCAATTGAGGCAAGCTAGCTACGCCCATTCTTTCGTGTTCGAAGCCGCTGTTTGAGATGTCTCTGTTGGTTTACTGATTCATTCTTGTATCTTTATTTATGTCCTTGCAGTTCTATGCTTATATATTTCCCAAACTTGATCTTGTCAACATGAAGACCGACTTCCTTAATCGAAATGTTAATGAAGGCTTTAGTGGAGGTGAAAAGAAGCGCAATGAGATTTTGCAACTGGCGGTATGGCTATCATTCTTAGTTAATCTTCCTGCTTCTTTTGTAATCTTGGTCAAAACTTCATTTGTAAGAAAATGCTTGGTGTGTGTTTGTTGAATTGAACATATAGTGTAATTACAATATTTGTAGAATTATGTAAACCTGTGGGAAGTGGGTTTCTTCCCCAGAGATATAGTCTTGTAATTTCAGTAAGTTGTTGCTCCTTCACATTCGTCTAAGTTTTACTGGGTACTTGTCTTTGTATTCACATGCTTCCGCTAAATGCAGGTTTTGGGAGCAGAGTTGGCCATATTGGATGAAATTGATTCTGGATTGGATGTCGATGCGCTACGAGATGTAGCAAAGGCAGTCAATGGGCTTCTGACTCCGACAAATTCTGTATTGATGATTACTCATTATCTACGACTTCTGGAATTTATAAAGCCAACATGTATCCATATTATGGTAAGTCATTGGAAGATATGAAAACATACATCGACAAGAGAGGTTTTGGGTCTTGTTTCATGTATCTGTCTCATGAAATTAGAAAACAAAATGGAAAGGTAATAAGGGATGCTCTATAAATATAAAGTATAACATGGTTCAGAAAAAAGCATGACAAGGTAAATGAGTTTATTAGTTTCATGTGTCCGGTAGTTTATCTCGGACTGCATAAACATACGGTTTGGATTTTTGCTGTTTTATCTTCATGTTATGGCTCCTTATAAGCAAATCTGTTAAACGTATAGCGGATAGTGCATCAGCAAATAGGGCTTGTTTCATGCATTCTTCCCCAGAATTCCTGGCGCTTTTGTTTTTACTTATGAGAGAACCAAGTGGGCAAGATTTGTGAGTAAAATTTTAGAAGCTCCAGATACTTGTAGAATTAATACAACCAAGATAGCTGCATGTTGCTTAGGGGATACATGAATTGGGCATAACCTTGGAGTATATCAACTCACGAAGATTTGGAAAAAGAAGAAATTTCTCTTTTGTTAATTGAATCTTTTTAGCTTTAAGAAAGCGTAGAAAAAAAGGTTATATAAGTTGGCTTCTACGACATAATACAGGATAATCAATAAATTATCATTGCGAGGAATACAGTAAGCTTTTTAAAACTGTTCCTAGATTATCTTTCAGTATTGATCTAATTATTTAATTAAATGATTTTATAGGAGGATGGGAAAATTATAAAGACAGGTGACATCTCCTTAGCAGAAGTGCTAGAGAAGGAAGGGTACAAAGCAATTTCTTGAGCATAACTTTATGAAAGGTATTGCTCTTCCTTTCTCACTCTCTTAAACCTCTAAACATCTTTTACTGCCTGGATACTAATATTGTATGCGTGGACCATTAATTTAATTGATCTTCTCAAATAAAAGTAAATAAATAAATATAGTGGCTCGAGTAATGCGTTTTATTATCTACAAGACTTAATTGGTCCTTCAATCACATTTATTTGCCTTTTTGCATATAATTGCTTTGGTTCATGTGGTCAATGGTATGTAAACAGAAGGGCAATTATATATGGCTAGTTATTGTTGTAAGAAGGCCCTTCCCAACAGCAGAACTTCAGGTTTCTAAGTGAACTTCAGCATCCTATTTAGAATAGGAGGCAATTTTCCGTCTTGGTAAAAACTTGCTCCCTATGAGTTTAATAATTTATAGCAGTGTTTCAAATAGCGTTTTCCTGGCGGGCTATATCGCCCATTTTGTGGCAACGCGTTCAGAAGCTTCTACAAGGTGTAGTCATTTCGCGGGGTTCCAAATAGCATACGCTGTTTGATAAAAGCGTACGCAATTGTAGTTATAGGTGAGCTATATTTTTGAAAAAGGCGATGTAATGATAGGTGCACTATCTTTGATTAAAAGCGTACGTAATTGTAATGATAGGTCTCTTATCCTTTCTTTTTTGTGTGGCTGAAAAGCTCATGCCTCGGGTTCACTTTCCAAGATGAGAATGTCATGCAAGAGAACACTGGACACAAGCTCAGATGTAGTATTGCTGAAACTGCTTCAGGGTATGCTTTCCCAGAAATGTTTATATTGATCATTAATGTTCATCCAATTTTTCTCGGGTTTAGTCAAGTTGTTAGGCCTGTGGTTTGCTGTCACATGGAGTTTGTTCCCTCAAGGTACCTATCTAGCTATTTGATAGAATTTCCTGCCTCCCAAAGATTTTAGAATTTTTTGGCAAAGCGGGTTCGGGGATCTCTGGGTAAAAAGATAGTGTTTGCTGATGAAGTCAAGTGATAGGAAAATCAGTTCTGCCTGCCCTATTAGGAATTTTCGCATGCAATGGGGAAGGAAATTCCTCAAGATTCAGAATGTGAATGGTCTAATGCTGAAACACATTGATTCCCTTGAATGACTGTCAGTTAGAAATCCCACTTCTGATGACAATTGCAAAGCTTCCTGGCCATAGTTTGTTGATTCTGAGCCAATGATATGATTAGGGTCCAAAATATACCAATAATGTTCGAGGAACGTGGGATAGTAGTGATCACCGATTCACTTGAACTGCTTGCATATCGTCTTGCAATTCTCACTAGGAATATAAACAAATTATATGGTATTTTTTTATTGCTGCGGCATCTGTTGTATATCTCAGTTCGAAACTAATGTTGTTTTGACCCTTTCTCATTCTTGCAGATTTGATTCGGGGAAAAGCGGGTGCAGGAGTAATGATCTCTTCCCGAAAAACCATAAAACATAATCTGCGTTCACTGCTTGGTAATTTGAGTTTTACATTTGTCTAATTTGTTAGGTCATATTATGGGTATCAAGGTGTGGAGCCCTGATACCTAGTAATCTCATATATAAGTGAAATAACTTGAAAGTTTTGCTATCTGGTATGGTCCATGCTTCTGACTCAACCACAAACGTAACCTTTTGATGGTGATATTTTAAACTACTCTGTTCTACGATGATGAGGGGAATTCAAAATTGGGTGCAGGGGTTCGGGCACGTTGCCCTAGTCAACTGGAATAACTAGAAATTGGAAATTGATCCCTCAGAAAATTGAATTTGATTGGTTGCACTCATGGCTGGATAATATGGGATTTGATTCATTCCTCTTAATAGTTTTTGGATTTTTATACATCTTTTTTAGCTTGGCACGCACTTTTATTTTATTTTATTTCTTGTCATCGGATTCAATAAATCAAATGAAAACTTATATGATTACATATTGGTGTGGAGGAGAAATAATGTGCGTGTTTATCTACTTAAAATTGCGGAAGTCATGAATGAGGAAAGGAAAGAAAAGAGTGAAAATGAGATCAAGTAGGGCTAGTTAAAGGTGGAATCTACTCTTTTTTCATCTTTTATATTATTTTCACGTATTAGTGTGTTACAAGGGAAGTTAGGAATTAGATTCTGTGTTTTCAAGGAAGCCAAAGATCATTACGACCATGTGGCGATGACAAATTGTCAGCATTTTCATAAGATCAATTGTCCTGGACATGACCTCACCTACTTTTCTAAAGCTGTTTTGTCGATTTATTCTCATAAAATAGAGCAGTAGTTTCTGATCTAATCGGTGCTTTGTCTCTGAACTAATCAATGCTTTGGTCTTTGAACTAAAAATTTGTGCGTATTGGTTCTGAATTTGTTATATTGTGAAGCAATGATCTTTTTGACTAACTCCATTAGAACTTTCATATTAAATAAAGGGTTTAAAGGGACAAAAAATGGAGGGGAGTTCTAAGCAAAGCTAACCAAAAAGATTACTGCTTCACATTGTAACAAGTTAAGGGACCATTGCTCCACATTATTACAAGTGCAATGACCAATATTCACAGATTTTTTGTTCAGAGACCAAAGTTCCAATTGAGCTAAAATTCAAGACTATTGCTCCAATTACTTTTTTTCTTCTTTACTTTATAAAGCACATACATCAACAATTAACGGATGACTTGAGGCAGTGAATAATAGAGGTATAAAAGTGATGGAAAAATCTAAGTTTGAGTACCAAAGTGCGACAGACAACTAAAAGTTGGAAATTAGAAAAATCTTTAGGGTAGTAAAACGAAAATTACTTGTAGCTTTATTGTGCGATGGTGCCCAACCAATTGCAGCAACAAATTAAGGCTTCCAAGATGTCTTTTCGCTCTCTTCTTTCTTAGATTGCATAAACCAACGAGGAAAAGGTACATTTGGTGGAATGGAGCAAGAAAGAAATGAATTTGGAACAACCTTTCTAGAATTAGATGGTGGTGTAGTTGGGGTAGCTGCGTTAATAGGATTAGAGATGATTGGGTGTTGCGGCAAGGCTTCTTCTAGGCTTGCCATGGCTGAGTCTTCCTCCTCCTCTTCAGACAACATCTATTTATCCACTTCTAGGCTATGTTTGGACATCTGTGATTCAGCTCCAACCTCCATACCACTTCAACACTCAATGATTCAAAATCATCATAAGTTCATATTGATGGACTATTTTTGTCAACCAACCATCTTGTTCTAAACAAGATTACAAACATTCAAGAGTTGTTCAAGGCAACTCTCATTTCTTCATACAACAATTTGTAAGTGAAGAATCATGGCACATAAAGTGTCCATGCCCTTGTGCTTATTTCTCAAGTTCCTTGTTCATTTAACAAATAAATAGTGTTTGCGTTAACCAAGGGTTGTTCAAAGCAACTTTTATTTCTTCATACAACAATTTGTAAGTGAAGAATTATGGCACTAAAAGGGTCCATGTCTTTGTGCTTCTTCTCAATTTCCTTTGTTCATACAACAAAGGAATAAGCACTTGTTGTTCATGTTGTCCTCTTTATGATAGACTTATCTAACATGTTCTTCCAATTATACATTATCAATAGGAAGATTGTGAGGATAAGACTACTTAAGTACATATACAATCAAATCAAGACAATAAATGGGATTGTGGCACCAAGTATGGAAACTAAAACCTTCAGCTTTTCTTTGTCAAGTTTTGGATAGCATTTGCAAATATATCGGTAAACAAATACATAACGAATATAAATTGATTGATTTTCAAGTTATTTGATCTGGACCTTTAAATCAAATAGCACCACACTATTTTTGACAAATTTCATATCCCTCATCAGAATTCGAGAGAAAACTCTTAGTAGAGTATGAGAGACTCACTATTACCAAGCTCACCTCACAATGATATGATGTTGGCTAGCATCAATAATAATGAGAGAGTACACTTACTCATTTACATCTCATGTAAGTACCCATCTTATTTGGCCTCTAGAGAATGAAGCCTCATAATGATATGATGTTGGTCCATTGCACTTAGTTAAGTCATTCCGACCATGCAAGTTCGGGTAGGGGTTCAAGAACAACCTCAAAATGATATGATGTTAATCATTCTCGTTGCCTACCTTCACAACATCATGTATGTGTATAGGATTTCTCCTGAGTGTAAGCACATACTTTGTACTCCCCCATGATAAGGTGAAGCCAGTGTATGAGTCACAAACCATCGGAACCTACCATGGTGGAAGGCCACAAAAGAGTGTTCAAAGCACTCTCACGCTTATCAACTTAATAATGGTTTGGTTGAAGGTTTTAGGTCTCATCACATATAAGCAGGCATTTTAATCTCATTAAAACAATTTGGTCCTATTACAACAATTGGTCCATGTGATTGATTTAGTAATATATGATACTCCCACTATGCTTGTAAAACGATTTTTAAAGCAAGAGTATATGGTACTACTAACATAAGCTTTGCATTCATTGATGGACTATATAGTTGCCTTAGGGCATTATGATGACTATGAACCTTTGATTCGAACACGAGCCTAGTGTTGGATCTCAGCCTAGGGATGATGATTGATTTTAGTTAAGCGTTTAATCACATTAAGGTCTGTTGTCTTATGGGTGTTGGACCCTACTACTCCAATTTCATGCATATCAAATAAAACAAGAAATGAAAACTTCAAAGTAAATAAGAGCTTATGCTCTTTTACAACATTTGATCGAAACAAATTACTTTAAAGTAAAGAAGAACTTATGCTCTTTTACAACATTTGATCATATCAAATTGCAACCAAAATCTAATCTACACATTCCTATGGTTCAAACAAATTTGAGAGATGGTCTTTCACATAGCTCAATTATCGTAGGCTTAGGTTCATAATCACCATTTCTTTAATTAATTAACGCTTTAACTAATTAAACTTGAATGCAACATTGTCATTTGATTTTTATATCCATAGAATTGATTTAGATGGAACTAAATGAAATGAAAATCCAATTCTCATTAAAGAGACAAAATCATTTTGTTCTCAACCTAATTTGGGCCAAAATGCAATAACCTCAACTTTTGGGCTATATTGCAAAACACAAACTTTTGGGGTCACTTTGTAAAAACACAAAAGTCCACTACTTCATGTAATTACAACTAGAACCCAAAATTTTCATCAAATACAAAAACTTCATTAAATGAACAAAACAATTTGTCCTTTAGTGATTTTGGGCCTTTACGTAAAAACGTAAACTTTCGAGTCAAAGTGCAAATACACAAAAGTATCAAAACTCTATGTACCCCAAAAGTAGCCATCTTATAGGGTTGGCTGGTTATGGTGAGTAATAAGAGGTTGGATGGTTTTTGATGAAAAGCAAAGTCTTAAAGTCAACTATGTTGAAAAGGTGATGGGTATGATGTTGAAAAAATAAGTATGAGTGTGTAAGAGAAGTACCAATCATGTACAAAAATTCAAACACATTTTCAACTTTCAATAACTTTTTCAAAATTGTCTTGTTGATTGAAAAGTCACACCATCCATCATAAAACAAGACTTTATGAATATAACCAAAAACTTTGAATCGAAACACCAAACATTTTGTTCTTGGTATGAACAAAGCAAGAGCATTGAAGAACATCCATGAAAACCCATAAGAGCGCCATGAATGTTTTCACTCAATAAAACTCAAATTTTCACTACTCAAAAGGGGGTTAACATCCTAGGGTACTTAGAGGTTTCAAAAGTCACTTTAAAACACTTTTAACAAGACAAACATGAACCCAAAATCCACCATTTGGATTTGGCCGAATTTCCCCATAAACATGGCATCAAATTTTAGCTCCAAAATTCATGCTCATATGAACTACATCTACAACATTTGAGATGACAAATTTTCAAGCAAAATTCACATCCAAAGAAGCAAGAATAAAGCTTGTAACAATTACAACATTCAAATCATAAATTATGAAAATACAAAACCCAAAAGGATTCACCAACTACTAGACCTAGGCTCTTGATAAAACATGAGGTATGAGAATGTGATTCGACCTATAGTTTAAGGTAGTTTTTTGTAACTTACCCTTTTTTTTCTTTTCTAAATTTCAGCTTTACCAAACTGGTACTTAGTTGACAAGAAAGCCCTCTAATATGTTTAAATGACATCTCCTCAATCGAATCACTTTTGGATTGGATTTTTTTTGCTTAAATGATTTCAAATGGATGAGAGCCACTTAGAACTGCAGTCTAATGATATTCCTATTCGCTTCTAAGTGAGAGGTATTAGGTTCGATTTTCGCTAAAGGTGAAGTTGAATCACATTATTATGGTAAGTCCATCATAAGGCTTAACCAAGGATTTAAATATCGATATTATCGGCGATATTTCGCCGATAATATCGTTTTTTACAGAGACCGATTTTTTTACACATATCCAGTCATTTATCGTCAAAATATCGCGATATTATCGATAATATCGCGATATTATCGATATTACCAATAATATCGCCGAGCTCCGTCGTCAGCGACCGGAGCTGCCAAGATCTGCGCGATTTGGGGGGGGGGAGAAAGAGTCGCGAAGAGGAGTCGCGGGGGCGCGAGAGTAGCGAAGAAGAGGAGTCGTGAGGGGGGGAAGGAAGAACGGTTGCACAGCTGGGTGGTGGATTTGAGCGGTGGGGGGGAAGAACAGTTGCGCAGCTGGGTGGTGGATTTGAGCGGTTTGAAGAAAGTTTCTGCGGAGGGGCTGTGGGAAGCGGTTTGAAGAAAGTTTTTGTGAAGGGGTTGTGGGAAGAAGAGTCGCAGAGAAGAGGGGTCTGGGAATCTGCAGAGAGGGGGGGACGGTGGGCTTTGGGAATCTGGAGAGAATGGTTCGGGGGGGTGGTTGGGAAGAACAGTTGCAGAAGGGAGTTGTTTATGTGGATTTGAGTGGTTTGAAGAAATTTTCTGTGGGTTTGAGTGGTTCGAAGAAAAAGGAAGGAGAGGACTGCAGGAGCTGCAGAGAAGAGATGTGGATTTGAGTGGTTTGAAGAAATTTTCTGTGGGTTTGAGTGGTTCGAAGAAAAAGGAAGGAGAGGATTGCAGGAGCTGCAGAGAAGAGATGGGGGGACCGGAGAGAAGAGATGTGGGTTTAAAGTGTAAAATATTGTACTAATTCATTATATATAAATGATTATAATGTGTTTAAACTTCTTTCATTAATTACTACATATTTTATACACTCATAATGTTTGCCAGCTTGTTATATAATCAACTTAAATCAGTTAAATCCATCATGCAATACATTTCCTTCCAATTTTTTTATGATAAACTAATAGATAATTGACTAAATAAACATTTTGCAAAGTTTCAATAAAAATTTCCAAGTTTTTCTTACAATTTCCGTGGTTTCCATATAATTTTTATCGATATCGATAATATCCCGATATTTCCATCGATATTTTCGTGTTTTCGGACTACCGATATTTCCGATATCATCGATATTTAAATCCTTGGGCTTAACTCATTCTCCCATCTCTTTAGTGTAGATATTGTCGTTTGTTAAAAAAAATGAATGAGATTTGAGAAAAATTAGGAAAAAAAGGGGATAAGCACAAATTCAACACTAAAAAAGATTAGTAAAGTACTTCATTCAAATAGTTCAAAGAATGTGCATTCAAACAACAGTACGTGATATAATCAATCAGTTTAGGTCATGGTAAGTGAATTGACAATTAATATTAAATTATGAATCTTCAAATCAATTGTTCATCTGTGTTGTAAACAAATGTGGGTTTGTATAATTAACAAGTTAATTAAATTTTAACATTGATCCAATGGTCCTTAAACATAGGACATGGGTTTTGTATAGTTATTAACTATAAATTGTATAGTTTTTTTTTTTTAGTAAAGCAATGCGTTAGTGAGTCAATTAATTAATTGTCAAAAGAAAAAACAATCATCGAGAATTGAACTCATATTAAGATGTATACACACAATCATCGAGAATTGAACTCATATTAAGATGTATACACATAATTACTTTTCTTCACAATTGTAAAACGTCATATGCCATAATTTGTATAGTTTAACTTGATGTTTCTTGAGTGTTTCTTTTTATGGTCAAGTGGTCCTTTGAGGAAAAAAACACAAGTGAGTCAATGATAAGATAGGCAGTCTCATACATTTGGTACTGTTGGGGAATGGGAAAAGCATGGACCCCAAAGGTAAAGGAGAAAATGGTAAATGTGTGTGCATTTGATTGAGTTTAGGCAGGAGCTAAAAGATCTCAAGCGGTCGGCCGGTCACATCAAACCTATGGAATCTTGGACTCCACTCATGTAAATCCCATTTTTTCTATTTTAATCCAACTTTTGTTCTTATTTTTTATTGCTAATTACCTACTAATTAGAAAGTAGTATAAACTGTAAATCTGAAATAAACTTTGGACTATGCAAATTGTAAGTTAATAGGGAAAGGGAGATCAGTGGATCAAACCTGCACCTGCATACGTAGATATTATTGTTTTTCACTAGCGACCATAGCGCAAGGAGGGTGTTCGCCTCTCTGGTCGTCAGAAATCCTCCTCCTCCGCTCTTCATGGAGATTTTCGACGATCGGATGAGCCTTTTATTGAAAAAAAAAACCCAAGTCAAAACGACATCGTTTTGAACTTGGGAAAAAAAGAATAGTAAAACGGCGACGTTTCACTAATTCTAAAAAAAATATAACAAAACAAGAAGATCACTCGTCCCCTATTACACACACAAAATTGATATTGATTCTAGACAAACAATCAGGCATGTCATCGTAAAGGAACGATACTATAAGAAACGGTGCTTAAACCCTCCTTCAAATAATACAGTTAGTCCAAATCCTCCTTCGAATATTTTAGGTAGTCCAAATCCTCCTTTGGATATTTCCGCTAGTTCACAATAAAGTGATGTCGCTGAGTTGGATGAAATATTGGCTAATCTTCCTGTAGACTTTGGACTTAGACTTTGAATGAGTGATTATAAGCCTAATTATCGTAAAACAATTCTTAGACACTATCTATAAAAGGGTCCTTGTCAACCTTAAACCCACAAAGCACCACGAAAAGTTATAGGGAACGACAATCAATATTTTTTCACTCATTGATCTGATTTATTTGAGTGGTTGAAGTATAACACAACAAAAAGATTCTGCTTTACGTGAACAAAAGAGGAGAAGTAATTGATAGATTTTTGGGTCTTCAACATGTCTCCTATACAACTACTAGCAACCTTGCAGAGGCTATTGAAAGGTTGTTTGCCACAACAAATTTGAGTATGAGGACAATGCTATGATAGAGTTAGTAATATGAAGAGCTAAATGCTCTTAAAACAAATATTTTGAACAATTATCCTTAAATATTTTATGTTCATTGTTTGGCACACCAACTTCAACTAGTTCTTGTAGCCCTAGCAAAGGGAAATGATGATGTTGCCACTGTCTTCGCAACGACTAGTAGTTTGGTTAATATTATTGGATTATCTTGTAAGTGTCGTGATGCATTTAGAGAGAAACAATAATAACAATTTAAGAAAGCTCTTGATATTTGTGTTCTTGAAACGGAAAAAGTGTTCAATCAAGAGAATAGTCTCATGTTTCCTTGTAATATATTTTGAAACTGACATTCTGGTACTTAGTATTATTGTTATGTTTAAACTTGTGGTGGAGGTGCTTCAAAGGATTAAGGGTGATCGCAATGCTTTAAAAGGCAAAGGTGGAGGCGAAGCGAGTCATGAATAGCCCCATCTAGGCAAAAGTCTTGAGGCATGATGCTAAGCTTTATAGGACTTAAATTTTTTAATAATATATAATTGTGTATATAATATAATAGTTTGTAAAAAAAGTAATCAAAAATCAAACGGGCAATCAAACTGACTAATGACCAAACTGAAAAGAATACCAAAAAACTTACTTGAATTTTGAAACAAATTCCACCCACACAGAAGCATACACAGCGAAATAAAGACTGCAACGACACAACGGAACTTGCTAAACCCACAAAACTCATTCAACAGGTAGAATGAATTTATCTCCTTTACTTGTCCGGTCGGTCAGTGTATTCTATCTTTGGAGCATCAGCAGCAGATACAAAAAACAAACTTATCTTATCCTAAACCCTGTTCCGAGGCATCAGAACATCCTACGACTGTACAAAACTACCAAGGCTGCATTCCGTAGATAATTCATCAGCCTAAACTTTCCAGATCCAAAAACCATGACAAACGCGGTATTTCTACTCAGGTTTCTTTGCGGATTCGGAATTTTCTTCCTTTTTAGACTTACTAAATGATCTTTGCGCTTCCAAGACCGGCAAATATGCTTCAGTTGTTTTTCTTACAGTGTCCTTGGTTGCCTTGTCAGACTCACGAGGGCTCGCCAGCTTCTTCTCAACGCCTTGGAACTTGGCAGTGGCCAAAGGAGCCGTCCCAACGTTCTTGTTAGAACTGGGTGCGTCAATTGTGAGCATTGAAACAGCATCCCGGGCGGCATACCATGAATGACCACAGGAAATACAGTCCAGCTGAAAAATGAATGAGAAAGTAAATTCCATTTGCAAGAAGGAAACAAGTGATATAGCTGTTACAATCTAAATAAATTACCCTTGAAACAACGTTCATGCATTAAGCTTAGGGACTGAAAAGCAAATGAGGCTACAGACATCCATGGCAATGTCATCTTTTAGTGAAAAAAAAAAATCAAATACTGGAAAGAGAACTCAATGACAGTTTGCCAGAACCAGAAAAAAAATTGGTAGATAGAGATAATCTATAAACATCTTTCATCCATCATCACCACCTACTTTTAGTCAGAATACAGATAATATCAAAAGTTTATGGACTGAAAAGTATGCAATTCAAACTTTGAACGTAGCCAGCAAAGCCGAACGCCTTGGCAAAATTAGGGGCGGTACAAGGCAACATTAGAAACCAAATAGAACAACTGATGTAGTGATCACAATGTGTAATTAAGCTGATCATAGGCTTTGATACACGCGTGATATCCAACGTTATAATTTAATGGGAAAAGTGGTTTTGAGTTGCCAAATCAATGCCACCAACCCATAGTTGATGCTTGCCTATAGAGTCTACACAGTAGTAGGTAAGAGACTTTCAGATTACTCAACTTAACCCCTACTCCGCTGTTGGTATGATACTACCAGAGACATCTTTTCTTTTTGGTATTTTCGTCGGACCTGGACTATTGCACACCAGACTTAGTCCTCAAACATTACCCGTTATTTTGTATGCTCCCAACAGTGTATAATCCCAGTTTAAAAAGAAAAATGTAGGGGCAAAAGCAATTGCCACTTGCCTTCAGACTCTGGTTGGTGACCATATCATATATTAATCTCTATATGCACAAACCTGATACCGAGCACTAATTCCTGCTTGAATAATGTCCCTAACTCCCACTTTGAACTCCAAGCATCTTGAGCAACGAGCATCAGTCATGAAATCAACAACGAGCACAGAACGTATATACTGCAGAGTGCAAGGTACTCAAAACCGACTACAGGTACAAATAAAATCACCTGCATACGCTCCCAATCATCAGGCTCCTTTGCTCTCTCCTCACCTGAAAAAAACCCATGAAAGCAAGAGCAACTATAGTATTATCCCTTTTGCATACACCAAGAGTTGGCCATAGCAACTACATCTTGTCTGATCGTACATGGATACTCAAAAGGTATCATGTCAAGAGGCCATACTCAACCTAGGGCAGATGGAAACACAGACGCATTTTACTCGATTCTCAACTGAGATCTTCACCAGTTGAACACCCATTTCAACCCAAACACCCAAATATCAAACATATCCATGATCTTTCACTATCCTCGATAAATGCTCCCCCCACCAGTTGAACAGCCTTGACAAACTTTTCTCTGATAAAAACCTTACATGGACATGAAAAGAAAGGAAGGGAAAAAAAGGACAACATCCAAAGATATAAGAGACATGTGTCTACTCGTGCAGCTGGCATACATACTTCCATCCCTCCTAAATTAGCAAACAGTAAGTTAGGCTAAAAAGGAAGAATTAGTCAGCAGAGATGTTACAAATATGTCCAGTGAGACCAAAAGCAGCTAAAGGAAACTGAATCTGATCAAAATCGAATAATTAATCTTCCTTGAGGAAAAATGGCAGACGAGACTAGATAAATATATAAAAGTTACACAAAAAGCAAACAAAAAACTATTTCAAATCGTTTTCACTTTGAAAACTAAAACCGACTAAAACGGAAAAAACAAATAATTATCAAACGACTCCTAAATTTCTATCTTCGTCCTGCTTTGCTTTATGTCGACTCGGAACAACTCAGTAAAATTATTCAGTGGGTTCTTATCGTGCAGCATGCTTCATTTCAGGCAAACTCCCTTCTCCTTCAATCAAAGAACTAACATGCTATTTCATGTCATTCAAAATTTGATCTACCGAACTACAAAATTGTTATGCACTCGTGGGGCATCGAAAGGGATTGTCAAACCAAACTGATTTTTCGCATTTTACTGTGATCACTGCGTTTGGCAATCTCCTTCAAACTAGTCCACGATTTTCTCCTCCGTTTGTTTAACGTGCTAGTTGTGTTTTCACCTATTGAGGTGGGACTGCTCTCAGGTTCAGCTGGTTTCTTGGTCGCTGAATTGTTTCTCCTTCTCTTCTTCCCTCCCAACAACAAAGTAATTCCAGTCTTCACCGCTGGAGTTGCAGGTGTATCCACGCTAGGAATCTCTGTGCCTGCTGAAGGAGCTACTTCATTAGCTTTACTAACCTCGTCTTCGCCTGCAGGAGTGTCGACCGTAGGAATCTCTCCGCCTGTGGAAGGAGCTATCTCATGCGCTTTACTAACCTCATCGCCTGCAGTGGTTTTCTTTGAGTTGACAAACTTCTTGGAGATGGACTTAGCGAGGTTCAGTTTCGAAGTTGTTTTGGCCTTAGGGGGGCATATCGTTTTCATATGTCCATTCGGAGTCCCTCTCTTCAAATTCTGATGTGAACAGAAGTGGCATGTATACACTACATTGTTTTGAGAGAAATTAATAAGTTTCTTACTTCGTCGTCGGGCCTTTGCTCTATTTTTCTCAATTCGAACAGTGCAGTTGAAGCCAGGCTGAAGAACTGTTTCACATCTGCAAAATAGTGAAACGCTGATCACAGGTCTGTACCTTTTAATATACTTTATAGTATCATTCATTTCAAAATGTATATTGTCCAATGTTATAAAACCTACAAGGCTACAACACACATTACACGCATCCAAAGACAAATTGATTCCAATAATTTTTTTCATGTAACGTAATGGCTGACTCATTTCAGAGTCAAAGTCATGGGAAGCTCTATGCTTATCTCAAAAGCACTTCAGTGTGTTTGAAAACATACATTCAAGGTGACATAAAATCCAAAACACGAAGGTTTACTAATATCTTTATTTGTGTTGTCACTGTTGCGTGCTAATACACAAACAGGACAAGCCAGCATCAGTAAAGCAAAAAACGATACATGCCTCAGTCAGATTCATGTTTCATGCCAATACAGTATACAGTGCAAAACGAGTTAAGCGGACAAGAAAACCCTGCAATTGCGGTTCGTGAGAACTTTGTTAGGATTTTATCTATTCATGGGTTAACCAATAACAACCTTTCTGAAAATTAAAATAAACAAACATGTAGTTGATTAGGCTTTCAGGTTAGACGAGTCAGAATCCTATTCTCTCTCCACCCTTCGAGTCTAACATTCCATTAGATGTTTCTTAGTTTATATATCTGACTTTCGATGGTGAATCCTAGATGCATGTTGTTCCCGTATAACTATGTATCAATTAAGAATTTCAAAACTCCAACACGTTTAGCTACGCGACAAGAAACGCTACCCCCATTGCCATACCAAACAGTTTCAAACCTATCCAAACCAATAAGATTTCCATCTTTATGGTGTACCAAGCTTAATCAAGGCGGAATGTAACTTCAGTAAGCATCATGATTACAATCAATTATATTTGTGGAATGCAGGTATGGTTAAGCTAAATATGAGGCTGTATTATGAAATCATCCAAAAGATACGCAATCCCACGAAACTCAAGACTCCTTATAAAGATACGCAAGTCAATAATGTCTGTTATAGCTGGATTGGTTTGGTTCATTTTGGTAGAACGAATCTATCTCATTGGTTTCATAAATTTCTATTGCAATCCAATCCAAACGACTTGAATGAGACTAAAGCGAATAGCCCGTTTTCTTGTTTCTTTTTCTCTACAGCTCCAAGTCATGCCACATTCAAATAGCTAATTTTGTATCAGGGACAAATTAACTACTACAAACTATGCAAGCCTCTTAACACCGAAAACTATTAACGCAAGCAAGTGAATCAAAAGTGGCACAAACTTTCAATCACAAAAATATTACAATGATCATATGAAACCAATAGTTCACAATCCCACCTTAAAAGTGAGCAGTTCATGATCACTTCCGAACAGAAATCAAATCTTCCACCATTTTTTCACAACCAATCCTACAACATGCAAAACCCACAAAATTGAACTAAAAAGGCAATTAAATTTGCAATTAAATCCACTTATAACCACACCAAATTCAAATACGATAAACCCTCTTTTTCTTTTGCGGTTTTTCAATCAAGAATCTAAAGATTTTTGGCATACCTCTGGCAAGGGAGAGAGAAGGTTCAGGGGGCACAACGATGGCCTCTTGGGCAGCGGCCAAGGTGCGCCCAAATAATGCACCCAGAGAAGGAACAGAAGCCTCCGCACCAGTCCACACAATGAGTCTCTGCAAGTGCTCGAGCTTCAGCGCGGCCTTGGCATTGATGGAGGAGCCGCCCTTGGTTTGCTTTTTCCCGGTCAATTCTCTCAGTGATATGTTGTTGGTAGACGCAAATGCGGTGTTTGGCACCCTCTTACCTCCTCCTCCTCCTCCTCCTCCTCCTCTCCTGCCCATGGCGATGCTTTGTTTTGGGGCGTTTTCTCTTTGGGGAATTTCTGTGAAAGAGAGCTTGTGGTTGCTGCGAGAGAAAGATTTGACGGAAGATTGATTCAGTCCCCTTCTCTTTAACATCACATCTCTGAATCAGCAAAAAAAAAAAAAAAAAAAAAAAAAAAAAGAGGTTAAACCGTGCCGAATTTGAATTAAAATTGTACTGTGAAAGAAGAGGATTCGTGGGTTTTTCCTGTTACCTCTGTATTTTATCATCAAGTGGAGAAACTTAGAAACAAAAGCAGACCTCGGAACCTTTCCCAAACAAAGAAATTAGAATTTAGAATCTCCCAAGTCTGAAAACAAAACCAAATCAAATCCGAGGTTAGAAACCCCCAAAATCACAAAAACGAAATTCGAACACATAACCTATTTTTAGAATATAATATGCAAAACACAAAATTACCACCCAAATCAGGAGAACTCACAGAAGACAGTACCTTTTATAAGCTAATTTTTTTTTTTAATCGATTCCTCCCAATTTTAGTAAACACAGGTATAATCCGTAATAGGAATCAGATTCCTTATTCTCATTCCAATTACGGGTTAGTAAACACGCTATAACATCCTATATATTGCCGTTCTCCCTACTAATTTCTCAAAATTAAAACCCTAAATATAAAAAAATTCCCCAAGTTGTAAATCTCTAATTCGAACCCTAATTCAAAAGCCCTACATCGTAAATCCCAAATTCGTTTTATAAATACGAAATTGCTTGCCTTAAATGGCTTGAACAACAGCTAAAAGGATTACAAACAAAAAAAATTCCGTAAGTTGTAAATCTCTAATTTGAAACCTAGTTCAAAATCTCTACATCGTAAATCCCAAATTGGTTTTATAAATTTGAAATTGCTTACCCTAAATGGCTTGAACAACAGTTAAAAGGATTACAGGTGGCTTCAATAACGGCGGCGTTAAAGGCTGCAAACAAAACCTACAAAATCAGAAAAACAACAAAGAAAACCTAACAAAACTAAATTTACATACATATGAAATCCATATTTAAATACGACTGTGAAACCAAACAAACCCTAAATTTACAAACCCTAATCTAGTATTCGTAAATTAAATTTCACAAACCCTAAATTAAATTTCAAACCCTAAATTAATTCCCATATTTATTTACCTGTGTGTGAATCTGAGAGAGAGAATCGCGTGAGAGACTCCTGAGAGAGAGAATCACGAGAGAGAGTCTCGGGAGAGAGACCAGTGGCTGTGGCTCTGTGTTGTCACTGTCGTGAAGGAAGGCTCCACCGTCGGTGAGAGACAGCGGTGGATCCGTGTGGTGGAGTGCCAATGACTGGCCGGAGTTGGTTTTGAGAGTCTCGACAGAGAGGAGGAGAGGGCTGTCTCTTTGGCTATGAGCTGAGAGACTGAGTGAGAAAGAAATGAAATCGAACTCGACGGGGAGAAAGCCTAACAAGGAATGGACGGCATAGATAAATTTGAAACAATCCAACGGTTCAAATTAACTCTAACTATAATTAAAAATAATAATATATATTATTATATGTGTAAATATATATATATATAATTGTTGTAAACATTCCTAGTTTAAGTATGATTGTGTAAATCCTAGATAAGATTTGATTCTAGTTATCATTTCCTATTACAACTTGTATTACTTGGAGGAGAAGGAATATCTTCTCTCCCTTTACTACTATAAATAAAGGCACAATGTAGGAGGGATAACAACACACACATTCCCCTACAATTCTACAAACACACATCTCTCTCCTCTCTCTCTCTGCCGCCGGCCCTAGTCCCTCTGTCAGATAAAATAGACCACAACACGTTATCAGCACGCTCCTACCGCTGCGCTTAGGAATCTGACGTTGGAAATTTTTTTCTGTTTTTTTCTGCATCAAACCAGTTCATCCATATCATCACGCAATCAGGTTCTTTCCAAACAACGGCTTTTAACTCGATATTTTGCAAGCCCTGATAGCATGAACATTCACCACGATGCATGACCCAACTTTACGTTTTACGTATTTTAGATTCTATGTAAATTGTGTATGCTTCATAATCAAAATTGCTACAATTATGTGAATTTGATATTTGTCATGAATTGAATCTTACATATGTACATGCATTGAAACTATTATTTGCATATGCATCAACGTAAATATGTGATTCATTAAAATTATACATGCATATAATATAATTGAATTGAAAAAAAAAAAAAAAAAAACATTTTTTTGCGATTGGGATATGAGTTCTTTCGAACCCGTGACCACCATCCTGCAGATGGGGTATCACACGCAAATCAGAGAGCATTCAGCTCTCCTTGTTCCCAGAAACCCACGGAGCCAAGCACCAAAAACCCAAAATCCCGACACCCTTCATCGTGTCCCCCGATCATGGAGTGGCCTGCAGCCACAACCACGAACCTATTGGTTCTTGCTATAAACGACCTGAAGTCGTCCCATGTCGGTAATTGAACCGAGATTCACCGAAATCTCGTCGGAATTTTTTTTTTTGAAAAATTCGATTTCAATTTTTTTTAGGGTTTTATAGTTGTTGAAACGTTGAGATTTTCTTATCTCTGTGATTGTCCACGACAACCATGACTCACCCCAAGTCCCAACAACCCCGACGCCGTCAAAATTTTCCGGCTTTCTTCTTCGGCATCGCACACCCAGCACGGCTGGGATTTCTTTTGGGTCTCTTTCCCGAACCCTATTGGGCTCCAGCCTCTCGGCCCGTGTAACAAAAGAAAAAAACAGTTTTTTTTGCTGGGCTCGCTTGCAGCGGCCCAGCCCACAAAGAAAACAATTTGTTTTTTTTATTTTCCTGGGCTCGCCTGCAGCGGCCCATACCGAAAAAAAAGAGAAATTTTTTTTAGGGCTGCACACAGCAGCCCATTCCCTTCTCACCCCGTGGGCCTGCAGCCTACACCCGGGGGTCCTCGGCTTATATTTTTAGGCCCCGAGATTTTATTATTTAATTTTTTTTTTTTAAATAATATGGGTTTTTTATATTTTCACCCACACTTTAATTTGGCCCCGAAGACCACAAATAAATTAATTCACTTATCATTATACAATATTTCTGCATATATTCTTTGCATATTTGTTTGCATATATATTTGTGTTTGCCTGCAGGAATATATGAACCTGAAGTTCATAATTACTTTGAAACCCGAAGTTTCTTATACACATGCCTTGTTAGAAAACCCGAAGTTTTCACTTAAATATATCACCCATGAAAACCCGAAGTTTTTCATGCAAAATTAACCAATACATGTCTATTAGAACCTATATGTTCTACTCCTATGTGAATGGATTGATTTTTCTCCATTACACTAACCACATCTTGTCCATCTATTTTGTGATAGGAACATGTCGAATTTGAACAAACTCGACTTCACCGCTTTGGAGGTTTCTGGAAGGAACTACCTCAAGTGGGTTCAAGATGTGAAGCTCCACCTCACTGCAAAGAACTTGCGTCCTGCTATTGAAGAAGCAACAGATAACCCTGTTGGCGAGGCTGAAAAAGCCACTGCTATGATCTTCATCCGAAGACATATCCATGACGCTCTACAAACTGAGTACCTTGCTGAGGAGGATCCACGTGCATTATGGGTCGCTTTGGCTGATCGTTTCGATCACCAAAATGACATATTCTTGCCTGAAGCAAGACACGACTGGCAGCACTTGCGCTTCCAAGACTTTAAGTCTGTGAATGAATATAATTCTGAAGTTTGTCGAATCCGATCACTTCTCAAGTTTTGCAATGAAACTTTGACTGAAGATGATCTCCTGGAGAAGACCTACTCGACCTTCTCTGCTTCTAATATTGTCCTGCAGCAACAATATAGAGCTCAGAAGTTCACTAAGTTCTCGGATTTGATCTCTGTTTTACTTCTTGCTGAAAAGCAGAACCACCTGTTGATGAAGAATCATCAAGCTCGACCTACTGGGGCTACTGCTGTGCCTGAAGCACATTATAGCACTAATCAGCACCCAAAACGCCAAAAGAGGCGTGGTAAGGGCGGCCAGAAGCCATCCCACCAAGGTCAACAGAGCCAAGGCCCATCCAAGGGAGGAAACAAAGCCCAGAAGCACCCAAACCTCGCTCCCAAGGCCCCGAACTTCAAGAATAAGGGCAAAGCACCTGCCACAATGAATGACGATATGTACTATCGTTGTGGTTCCAAGGACCATTGGTCCCGTATTTGCCGTGCTCCCAAGAAGGTTGTGGATGCATATCATTCTCGTCGTACGAAGTTTGAATCAAACTTCCTGAAAGTGGACGAACCGGAGACTACAAAGATGGAGGTTTCTGATTTTCAGGAGGATACCACTCCTATGGAAGATTATAATCTTAGACATAGACTTATTTTTCAGTTAAAATAAGACAATTGGGGCCGAATTCCACCTTGTGGCCGAACCCCACCTTGTTTTTTGGTTGATTTTGAACAATTTTCCTTTATATTTTGGATTATTAGTTGGCGATTTATTTTGGATATTAAGTTTTTTCCTTGAATAAATGATATTATTTTGAATTGATACTTGTTTTTATAAACTTTTATGCATGTGACCGATTCAAATTAATTTTTCATTCTAGGTATGACTAGTGGGAAAGTTAGTTGTCTGGCAGATAGTGCAACCACGCATACTGTTTTGCGTGAACGCATCTATTTCACTAACTTCGTACCTAAGAATGCACCTCTGACAACCCTCTCAGGCCCATCCAACCTGATCGAAGGATACGGTAAGGCACGTATAATGTTGTCCAATGGTACAATCTTGACCATTGCTGAGGCACTCTATTCTCCACGTTCCGGAAGAACGTTACTAAGTTTCAAGGACATTAGAGATAACAATTACTACGCTGAAACCCACGTTAGAAAACGGAGTTGAATTTCTGTGCGTAACTTCCTACGAATATGGCCAGAAGCGTATTCTAGAGAAGATGGAGCGTAACCCGAGTGGTCTGTATACTACGACCATACGCCCCATAGAATGCCACTATGTGGCCGGCCCTACCACAGGGACCGCGCACGAAATTACACTTTGGCATGATCGTTTGGGACATCCTGGACGAAATAGCGATGCGCCGTATCCTCAAAACTTCACACGAGCATCCACTAACCCGAAGCTTAGGTTCGATCCATGAAATTGCATGTCAAACATGTTCTATGGGAAAGCTTATTACTAAGCATTCTTATGACAAGATTCGTTCGAATCCTCCCATTTTTTCTACAACGGATTCAGGGGGACATTTGTGGACCGATTCAACCTCCCTGCGGACCATTTAGATATTTTATGGTTTTGGTTGACGCTTCTACACGTTGGTCACACGTGTGCTTGTTGTCCACAAGGAACGCTGCATTCTCCAAACTGTTGGCTCAGGTTATCAAGCTCAGGGCTCACCACCCTGATTATCCGATCAAATCTATTCGATTGGATAATGCTGGAGAATTCACATCTAAAACTTTTGATGACTATTGCATGTCGGTTGGGGTTGAAGTTTGAACATCATGTACCCCATGTTCACACCCAGAATGGCCTGGCAGAGGCTTTCATTAAGCGTTTACAAATGATTGCTCGATCGTTGGTCATACGTACCAAGCTCCCGATCGCTGCTTGGGGCCATGCAATATTGCACGCAGCAAAGTTGGTCCGCCTGAGGCCTGTTGCGACACAACCATTTAGTGCCCTTCAGTTGGTCACCGGATGCGAACCCGACATATCGCATCTGCGCGTTTTTTGTTGTGCGGTCTATGTGCCGATCTCGCCGCCCTTACGTACAAAAATGGGGCCTCAGCGAAGGATGGGAATCTATGTCGGATATGATTCTCCTTCGATTATTCGTTACTTAGAACCTTTGACAGGCGATCTGTTTACCGCTCGTTTCGCGGATTGTCACTTCTATGAGACAGTCTTCCCGTCGTTAGGGGGAGATAAGAACGTCAACGTTCCTAATGAACGACGCGAATTATCGTGGACAACTCCCACTTTGTCTCATTTAGATCCCTGCACCGCTCAGTCTGAAGCTGAAGTGCAGTGCATATTAGATCTCCAGAGCATAGCTCAGAGCATGCCAGATGCTTTCACCGATCTAGCGCGCGTGACAAGATCACATATTCCAGCTGCGAATACGCCTGCAAAGATGGATGTACCAAATGTACGACGGACTACCCTCCTGGAAGCCCGGGACGCCAATTCTGGTGATCCACGTACATTAGCGGCTAGCCAATCATCTGCCCCTACACAAAAGCGTGGCAGACCCCTTGGTTCAAAGGATTCACACCCCCGGAAGAGGAAAACCACGGCACAAGGTCCTGAAGAGCCTACCGTGAATCCGACTATCGCTTACTCATTTTACCCAACTCATGAGGAAATTCTAGATTATGGAAGCGTCCTTGAAGAGACGAATCCTCCTCCCGAGAATCGTGAGAT